GGAGGGGCGCGGCTGAGGGCAGATTGCCGTCAAAAGTTCCTTAGGAAGAGATAAGCGCTGAAAGAAGTAGCAGAGGTCCGAGTCCAACACCAGGAGGCATCTGTGCGGAAGGGGTGGAGAAGCCCCAGTATATGTTATCCCCATGGAGAAGGAAGGGGAGCTCCTGGAGTATTTTTGGTCAGAGGTCGTCCCCTCTTGCTCATCTCCAGACATCCCTGTTAACAAACATTGTAGCTGCCTCTGTATCTCTTGGGTCACAAACCCAGCTTGAAATCTGCAGATTTTTTTCATTCGCTAGACTTGGCATGATAGGAGACCATTAATGTAAATAATTTATGCAGAAGCCTGAGGAGGAGCAAAGTTAAGATCCAATTCCAAGAACTGTTGGATCCTGTGTACAAATCTTACATTTTTAATAGATAGTTTTATAATACAGAATTAAATTCTTATTCTAGAGTAAAATCTTCGAGCTATACCTTTTAAATTAAAACTATTGCATGAGGTTTGTAAACAGAAATTATTTTTAAAAACCTTTTAAAATGAGAATTAAATTTAAAAACACTTTAAAATGATATAAGTATTTTATTGGTTTTTAAAAAAGAGAGCACTGATATTTATCCACTCTGAAGGCTCACTTTACCATAACAGAAATGATGAAGCTGCCATGGCCTAATAATTTGTCGTTGTGAGAAGGAAGGGATGTTTTAATTCAGATTCCTGTGCTGCTTCCACTGTGCTCCGTGCTTGTGTGCAAAACTAGTAATTTCCAAAGAACTCCCTTGGTCCCTGAAAGCTGACCTTGGAATAAAACCTAGTCTAAGAAGTGCTACATTTCTCCCCCCTTTTTTCCTGCCAACATTATGCAAAGTGTTTGTACCAAAATCTTCAGTGATATTGCAGATATTTCTAGGTGCTTATTAGCCCTGTACTCAGCCTGAAGATAATACCACCTAGCTACATGCAGCTGCTGGGGTCTGTAAAGGATGGGGAGGGAGAAGAGTAATGAGATTAGCCCTGGTCCATAGATGTAGGAGCCAGTCTGACCAGTCACCCCAAATGATCCTGCTGTGGAGAAGACTGGTATGGGTGGAGGGACTGCTCGCCATTTCTGTAGAAAAGATAGATCTTTCTCTCCCAGACATCCTGATGTGCAGGGAGAGCTTGGAAAAGGAATAAATTGCTCAGAGATGCTTAGGATTCACCTTTGCCATTTCCCTCAGGGGCTTCCTATCTCTGGCTTTGTTTCAGAGCACCATCTGGAGGTGCTCTAGAACAGCAGGTATCCTGTGTGGCCAAATTCTTGCATGAAGTGAGGTGGTCTCCCATCTCCTGAGATGTCAGAATGTGCTCAAAGCAGGAGAAGTCATTGGCGAGTACAAACACCAGCATATGGTAGGCCTTCCTGTGGAGGTGGTGCAATTTCCAGTTACCGAAAGCAGGAAATGACTGAGCAAATGGCATATTGAATGGATTATTAAGAAATCCTCTTAGTCAACCACAGAAGTGAAAGTTAGTTATGAAAATGGAATGTGCTATCATAATGCGTGTTTTTTTTTTAATGAAAGTGAGCACCTGCACATTCACCCTCCACAACTTCTGCCTGCACTCCAGACCTATTGGGGCTCTACAGCTCCCATATCCCCCACCTGCTGGAGAGAGAGTGATGGGAACATAATTTTAGGGACGTGGTGGCGCTGCGGGCTAAACCGCAGAGGCCTGTGCCGCAGGGTCAGAAGACCAAGCAGTCATAAGATCGAATCCAGGCTACGGAGTGAGCGCCTGTCGCTTGTCCCAGCTCCCGCCAACCTAGCGGTCCGAAAGCATGCAAATGCAAGTAGATAAATAGGGACCACCCCGGTGGGAAGGTAACAGCGTTCCGTGTCTAAGTCGCACTGGCCAAGTGACCACGGAAGATTGTCTGCGGACAAAACGCTGGCTCTATGGCTTGGAAACGGGGATGAGCACCGCCCCCTAAAGTCGAACATGACTGGACAAAAATTGTCAAGGGGAACCTTTACCTTTAAAAGGAATTTTAGATTACTCCTTTCCCTTTTTAAAAAAGGTTCAAGAAAAATTGTGAGGGGATTCCTAAAAATCCATTGCTTGTGCTTCAGATATGCAAACTAAAATATTGTGCTTTGCCTTTTCCTTCTTCAGCACTCCCAAGTGCATTGCACGTTATAAATGAGTTTTGTTCACTAAGTTGCTATTTGACCAACAAATGAAAGATAAAGTAGCCAAGGGATCTGCAAGTAGAAATTATTAGGCTCACCAAACTGTAACAAAATTGCTCTGTTTCTGTAACATTTTAACAATCCAATCAAATGTATCACCTAAATGCTGTGAATAAAACTCCCAGTTGCTTTCATCTGATTTGTATGCATTGTGAGCTATATATTTTTACAGTTTGTTATGTCCTGAAATAATTTAGTTTGTATTCAACAACAAAGAATAGTAAATTTGGATTAAACTGTGTAACCTAAAATTAGAATCTGTAAAGCTGACACTCTTCTGGAAGGTTTGCCTGCTTATAGGCAGTTACTTCTCTGTTCCACAGAAGACTGCACAGTTGCAAACTTTCCTGCAGCAGACTAAATTGAGCTGTGCCACATTCAGGGAGGCAGAACAAGACATAGTCCTCGCCCAGCTTTGCCATCACATGTCTTGGGCTTGCTGCAGCATGTTGTGCCGGCCAGCACGTAGGATTCCAAGGGAGCTCTGCTTGCCATCGCTCACCGCTCCAGTGCAGAGTAGAGCTTCGGGCAGGTCACGTGTGGGCCGTGACAGCAAGGCTGAAGTGGCTCTAAATTTAGCCAAGAGGTTGCTCCCCTTCTGTAAAGGGGTCATTTTTTTTTCATTTGACAAGCAGAGTGGTTATTTTCCCATTTGTAAATGAAGGAATATTAAGGCAATAGATATTAGTAAAGTTTAAAACTGTGCTTTAGGAAGCATAATCTTGAGTTTATATACATATTTTAATGTCTGCTTTGTTTATGTGGTTTTAAAAAATACAGTACAATTTTAAACAATTGTGTACTCACCTTTCAGTTATCCCAGAACATCAGCCCAAGAAGGTTTATTGTGTGCAAGAAGTGAAGTGATTGTCAAAGTCCTTTACTGTTGAATTGGTGCAGTCATCTCTCTCCATAACTGTTTAGTCAGCATTGTATCTCAAAAATAGCTTGCAGGGTCTGGGTTTAATGAAGAGACTTTAGAGGAAGGTCCAACTGATTTTAGTGGAACCAACATCGATTCAGCCTGCCAAGAATGACAGTCTGAGTTTGCACTGCCCCCACCGTGCTATTTGACATGTTGAATGTAGTTTGAGTGCTGCACAGAGGGCTGCAGTATATTAGTTGATCTAGTTAATCATCGTTCAGCTCATGAGGTTGGATTGTGTACAATTCTAAATCATGATGTGTTACAGAAGCTGAGTTTACATTCTGCCTCAAATTTCAGAAATCTACTTAAAAACATTTGACCTAGGGAAACACCAGAGTTTGTGAACTTCTTTCAATAAATATAAGGCACTTACATAAAAAATTCTATGGTGCATCCTAAATTTAAATTCTAGATTATAAATATCTGATTTATTTTTGTAACCTTCCTCCCCACCTTCTGGAATTGAAGGAATATGAGTGTCAGTTTTCTGTGTAATACTGACTTGTTAATAATTTGGAGTGTGGAAAGTGAAGCTATATGCTTTTATCCTATTGACCATTTTATCCTATTGACCATTCTATATAAATGAGTTTCAGTGCCATTAACAGTTATACTAATTCAGACTTTTTGCTTACTTTCAGCAAGAATTGAGGCAAGCACCAGCAGAAAGAAGGGCCATTTTAATACAGCATAAAATATTGTATGCAGAAGTCTGTAAATATGCTATGAATCTGGCTGCATGAGAATCTTCCTGCTTTTACTGTGCCAGGAAACATGAGTACGCCTCGCTCCAGCAGCGTTTCCCCGAATCACTACTTTCAGAGATTTGTATTTTTCCATTATTCAGTTGAAAGTGAATCAGCATCTCCAGGGAGGCGGCAGTAAGACCTGCATCTGTGAATTGGCCTATGGGAAGGGTTGAGGGAGGAGAGAGAAAGCGGCTTCCATTAAGTCTCATCCAAATGAGTTAAAGCCAGGTCTGCATGAGAAACTGCACGTACTTGCAGACGTCTGACCGGAAAGGGTGGAGCTTCTCTTCCCGATGAAAGCTGTGTTAAAGAGCTAGTGCAGAAGACTTAAGCTGCTTGAAATAACTGTACAGCTGAAACTGAGGTGGTTCTCTTACCCAAGAGAGTTTAACGGAAGAGAGAAACAGATACTGCAGCTTGCTGAGCCCTTAAATTGAGAAAATAGACTAGTGATAATTATTTGTTCACACAGAAGTAATTGAGAAACCTACATTTAAGTAACTGTGAAATATCAAACTAGGATGGCTTATTTTCCCAACAAATGTGTGTTGGTTCATCAGTTGATGCTAGCAGATGACAAGTACTATACAGTTACTTTACTGGAAGGTTACAGTGATGTAGGAATTGTGATCTGAGATTTTGCTGTAGAAGAGGGCATTACACAGCAAGTCCTAACAATGCAGAAGAGATGTTAAAACTGACTGTGAATGCACAGGTCTGGCAACCTGCTAGGGGTGCGTGCAATTGCTTGTGTTTGTTCAAGGATCAATGGTAGCAATCCCTCCAACTGCACTGCACACAGCTGTGGCTAGTGGAATATAAACCATGATAGAATAACCTTCTCCAGTGTAGTATTCTTTAGATATGCTTACAGTTCCTAAATATACTGGCCAAGGTGGGTGAGGGTAATGGATACATTAGGAGAATTTGGCTGGGTGTGTGCCATGTTGGGCGACTGTGCTATAAAATGATGGTGACTTCCAGAGTGGAAGTTTAGTGAACTGCTAATTTAAGTGGTAATATCACTTGCACTAGCCATAAGGTGGAGGATTAGATGTTTGCCAATGTGCAATATAAAGCTTAAGTCTTTTTAGCTCTTCTGGATTTCTGGATTTGTTTTACGCTTCAGTTGCATTAATGCATGTTGTAAGTTATACAGTTTAAATGGCTAATTTGAAACCTCAATTAAGTAAGTGCAGACAGCTATGTGCCTTTGTGGAAGCTTGAAATACAGCTCGATTTTAAAATATCTACCCTATACTTTCCTCAGATATGTAGTGACAGGCTTTCAGGTTTACGGTCCTTAGCTTAGGCTGTATCTGCACTGTTTTCCAACATGATCAGGAATGAGTCAGCAGTAGATTTGCTGGTTTGGAAGGGCTTTGGTCTGTTTCATGACAGCTGTAGTTATTCCTTTGGTAAATCTGTGGTCCAGCTAAAATCCTTCCCTGGGGGCTGATAACGGGCTCTGAAAGGCTTTGGACTACCACACATAAGTCCAGGGCCTTTCAGTGTACAAGTCACGTAACTGGCTGCTCCAGGGTCAAGAGTGTGTCTGTACCTGGGCTGAAATGCCTCTTGAAGCAGTCCCTCGCCCAGCTTTGCCCATCACAGCCTTGAGTTCTCACTAGGTGAAAGGATGCTGGCTGCCTGCTTCACAGCAGTTCAGAAGAGTCAGGAGCTCTCTGGGAGTGCATCGCATTAATTGTGACAAGTGCACATTTCCTCCTGTTCTCTGTGTCTCTGGACCCCTAAGAGAAGAGGGGGCAGAAGTAGATCATCAAGAGCTGGGCTGAGCTGGAGCGGGTGGAGCAGAAGAGCTCTTCCCCAAGCCACTTGGGAACATTGGGCTTTGCATGTCACGTAACGCCTTTCTTCTCTGGTTTTAGATACCAGCTCTCACCAGCCATGTCGAAGCAACATGATGCTTTCATCCAGACCCAGCAGTTGCATGCTGCCATGGCAGACACGTTCCTGGAACACATGTGCCGTCTGGACATTGACTCTCCCCCAATCAATGCCAGAAACACTGGCATCATTTGCACCATTGGTAAGTAGAGGGGAACAGTGCCGTTTCCTGCCTTGGGCGAGCCCATTTCCTGAGAGAAATCTCAGCGAATGGAATAATTTATTTTATCTGTCTATCTATCTATCTATCTATCTATCTATCTATCTATCTATCTATCTATCTATCTATCTATCTATCTATCTATCTATCTATTGAATTTATACCTCACCCATTTATTCAACTGAGGAATTCAGAACCGATTTAAGAGCATTTCTGGTTGATCCTGATTATTGAGCTAACTCTCTTGTCTGGAGATCCATGGAGTAAACCACAGAGATGAAAAAGAGCAAACTTAAACCCCTTTTAGGAAGTTTTGCACATAGATCATTTCATTATGTAATATAGATAGCAGACCAGGAGATGAGAGTCAGGTACAACTCACCTTTGCTTTGTGAGGCAAGTTCTTATGTTTTGGTATTAAATTCCAATGGTAGTAACTACCATAAGTGTCTTTCTCATCAAGTTAGTCTTGTAAGGGTTAGCATGTTGGCATTTACTAATAAAACCTTCTTTTCAAATATCTAGGGCCGGCTTCTCGGTCAGTGGAAATGTTGAAAGAAATGATTAAATCCGGAATGAATGTTGCCCGTCTCAACTTCTCTCATGGAACTCATGAGGTAGGAACAGGTTGGAGGGGCAAATGAAAAACCACCACCACCAGGGATTGCAGTAAACAGTGAGGATGGAATTATTTGTCCGGTCGCCCCTGAATATGCTCGGTCGGCTCAGGTCCTCCTGATCATTTTGGAAGCTGCCCATGCAATCTTTGACTTGGTCTAATGCAGACTTCTCGTTAGTTAGTTATCTCATGCCCATCCTGTCTTTCTCCCAAAGTAGGGATTGAAGGCAGCTCCTAACTGTCTGCTCACAACATTCCTGTCAGAGCCTTGCTGCATTGGTGGCTTTTTCTGCTTTTTGATGATGGAGAAAGCAAGTCCAGAGGCCAGAATCCTGTTTAGATTGCAGACATTAGGAGGTTGCCCTTTTGCAGATTGTATTGCCTGTTTTACCAGCTGCTGCCCATCATGTGGCCCGTTTCCATTGCTCAGTCAGCCACACAATGGACAGCTGGCAGGACCCCAAGACTGCTTGCATGGTTGCTCTTCCACACTCCACACAGAAGTTCGTTAAGAGCTTAGACTGAGAATTTAGGGCAACACAGAAATAGTGTTGTGTAGAATGAATGGAGAATCTAGAGAAACAAAAGCTTCCACAGCCAAGTCCTGACTACCTTGAAATACAGAGCTATAAACATGCAGGAGGAGAACATTCAGGAGCGAATGTCAGACTATGGAACTTGGGGAAATCTGTTGCATACTGAGTGTGGATGGCTTGTTTCTGTACTTAGTGAAAGTTCACCTGTGAAAGGTCACTCCCCTCTTACTAAATCATGCTGCTTGGCTTATAAACAAGGTATGGGAACTTGCTTGGTCTGGAAGCTACACGCCTCTCCTGCAGTTCAAAGTGGTATGCTACTGTGAATGAGGTTTACACAGTTGCATAGTCCATTGAAAGCTACTGCTCTCCTTTGCTAAAACTTAGGAGCTGTTAAAACACTGCCAAATTCTGAGATCTTCAAGAAGTGAAGGGATTTGCCAGTCTGCAAGGACTTGGCCTTTGGATACAAAAGGGTGGTGCTTGCACCTGTTTCAAAATGCCAGGGGTGCTGGGGGAAGGTCACAGGAATTGCAAGGAGGCTGAAGGAGAGGGCAGCCTCCTATAAATAGAGCAGCCCTTTCCCTCTTTCTGCTGGGCTGGGCAGCTCCTGTTCCCAGCTGCAGCCTGCCTTAAAGGCCACAGAAAGGTCTCTGGATTGCCTTGAAAAGGTCAAACTGCAGTTTGCAGGGCAGGCGGTTCATGGAGATCCCCCTTAGCTCACAACGTATGTGCCCTCTGCCCTGTCTTTTACTTTAAGGGCTTCATGTTAAAATTGGATATAAACATACAGCAGTAATCCTCAACTGACTGGCCTTTAGTTTAACAAGTTCTGAGTAGTTTTAAGATGAAAAAAGAGGTAGAAATAACTATATTCCCCCCATACCTGTTAGAGACAAAGATTTGGCACCTCAGTTTGCCATCGAAAAATTGCATCTAGGGTTGGACCAAAAAAAAAAAAAAGCTCAGGCGAATTCCTGTCATGTTGCTTACTAGCTTGTACTGATATAGTAGGGGTTCTTCCGTCTCCATTGGCGTGCTGGGAAAGTCAGTATGGGGCAACATTTACATAACCTTGGCTGTGAAGTTTGCCTGCCCTCGATTGCTGTTTGATCAAGATAAGCAAACCATTCCTGGACAGATAACTTCCACTTCACAGGTTATCTGCTAGGGAGGAGGAGACTACTCTTGAGTAGAAGTGAGGGCTGTGAGGTCCTAGGCTGCTACTGGTTGAAGCTCAGAGCTTTATTTTCCAGTAGCATGCTTCACTGCAGTCCACCTACACTGGCCAAGGGACCATTTCCCACATTTTGGTTCTCCTAATAAAATTGGAAGAGTAAGGCCTTTCCTCCCTGTTACAGAGTGAAGTGCTTGCATTTGGGAAAAACTAATTAGAGTGACTATATACTAATTGCCCTGCTGACCAAGAAGTGCTCTGAGATGCCAACATGCAAACCTAATGGTCCCACTGTGGCAAAATCTTCTGCAGCAAGAGCCTTCATTGTGTTAACATTTGCATTTTCTTCCTTCCTAGTATCATGCTGGAACCATCAAGAATGTACGTGAAGCTACAGAGAGCTTTGCTTCTGATCCTATTACATACAGACCTGTTGCTGTTGCACTGGATACTAAGGGACCTGAGATTCGAACTGGACTCATCAAGGGCGTAAGCTGCATTTACATTGTTCTGTAACTTTTTGAAGCTTCTATTCACTCCCCACTGTCTTGAACATACTCTGTCTTGTGGGCCTTTCAATCAACTAACTGGAAGGGCATGGGGTGGAGTCAAAGCTGAGGGTAGTGAGATTTCCATGCATAGTCTTATGCAACCTGTTTTTGCACACAAGAGTCTCTAGGCTGGAGTAATAATGTGCTATCAGCATTTGGTATTTTCCTTTTTTCCAACCACCATGAAATGTCATGGAAGGAGAGCAGCTGCTGTCTTTTAAATCCGGTTGGGATGAATTCTTCCCATCACCTCTAGTATGGGTCAGTGAGGGTCATCTGCCAGAAGTGGGCAACTCAGGGTCGTCTTGTCTGCCCTCAGACTTCCTGCAGTACACTTTAGGATCCACCATACTCTCTTGCTTGTGTGGCTTTGCTGTTGATGTTTGATAGAGTCAGGTGAGAAGCTAAGCTGCTCTGCACTAGGACTTCCTGGTATCCCTAAAGCAGGGGGCCATATTGCAATCCCATAGCATCAAGGTTGGACTCTGGCTGAGAGGCTTTCCATGCAACCTGGGAATCTTGCTGCATTTAGGAGTTTGCCAAAAGTCAGGGTCAGAATCCACACTCGAGTGGCAAGGCCAAATCATTAATTGGGATTTGCCTACGGGTGGACTTCTCATTTCACCCTCCATTCTGGTTTGGATGAGCCACTGGGTTAAGAGCCCACCGGGCTGACCCTGCCACCCTGCAGCAAGTGAAGGTCTTGAACGATGCCTTTCCCTGGTCTGTTTGCTTCCAGAGTGGTACAGCAGAAGTGGAGCTGAAGAAAGGAGCAGCGCTGAAGGTGACCCTGGACAATGCCTTTATGGAGAAATGCGATGAGAACGTCCTGTGGGTGGACTACAAAAACCTCATAAAAGTTGTGGATGTGGGCAGCAAAATCTACGTGGACGATGGCCTCATTTCCCTACTTGTTAAAGAGAAAGGTGTGTTCCAAGACTAAACCTTCGGCATATTTTTGTCTCCCCTCCAGGGTGCATTTCCTTCGAAAGGCATTTTCAAGATCAAAACAAATGAACACAGTAATTACAGTTTCAGCATTTAAACTTTGGGAGCAGTGAAGCTATTTGCAATAACAATTTAAGTTAGCACGGTGTTTAAAATCTTGTACTGAAAGTAAGTTTTAACAAGAGTTCTCCATACTGAAATATACAAAACTAAGCAGAACTATTCAGAGAGTTGAACCATCTTGGCAAAATGCCTTTGTCTAGTTGCTGTCTGCATCTTAGCAATGGCAAGAGAAGGCAGTTTCTCTTGGGTATATGCATCCTAGAAAGAGGTGAGGTTGGCCTAGATGAAGAAAGAATGACTGCTGAGTTTAATGGCTTGTAGAGGAATGAGTGTTGTGAGTCACCATGCTTGGTATTCTGTTCAGGGGATGACTTTGTCATGACTGAAGTTGAAAACGGAGGCATGTTGGGCAGCAAGAAGGGAGTCAACCTGCCAGGGGCTGCGGTGGACCTTCCTGCTGTTTCCGAAAAGGACATCCAGGACCTGAAATTTGGTGTGGAGCAGGATGTGGACATGGTGTTTGCGTCCTTCATCCGCAAAGCTGCTGATGTTCATGCTGTCCGGAAGGTGCTGGGGGAAAAGGGGAAGAACATCAAGATCATTAGCAAGATTGAAAACCACGAGGGAGTCCGCAGGTGAGTGTGCTGAGGACGACCTTCCTGGTAGTCTGAACCCCTTCTCTGAGGCTGGATCGCCCTCTTCTTGGGTGAGAGGGGGAAGGACTTGTGAAAGGAGACCGATGCCGGTCCTAAGGAAGTGAGCTGGAGAGTTCCCTTCTTTCCTTTCAAGTGCCTCAGTTTTGTGGTCTGCTTCTATCTAAAGGGTGCAAATGGTGTGTTGGAGGCTGAGCATCCTGGTCTGGCCAGAATTGCCTTGCTAGGAGGAAATGGTGAATTGGTCACAGTTGGCTGAAATGAGAAAGGAAGTCGGGCAGCAGCTCCCACCCAATTGTGCAATAAAATAACAATGTAACAAATATGGCTGAAGCACATATACGCACACGCGATTAAGCAGAAACATTGCAGTTAAGGGCTGGGGGGGAGGGGAGAAGGAGAACATACATAAACTTCAAGAAAATATGACCACATACCCTGATGCAGATCTATACACAGTTGGTGTTTGTTATTACACACACAAATGTCAAAAGTTTTTTGAGATCCTTACTGAAGGAACTTATTTCTACTCAGCGGTGAGCCCCAGTATCAAACCACCCCCCCCACCCCCCCGCAGTCTTTCCTCTGCATAGAAAGTAATTCTTTTCTTTTTGCTTCACTTTCAGGTTTGATGAAATTATGGAAGCCAGTGATGGCATTATGGTAGCTCGAGGTGACCTGGGTATTGAGATTCCTGCTGAAAAAGTCTTCCTTGCCCAGAAAATGATGATTGGTCGATGCAACAGGGCTGGCAAGCCAATCATCTGCGCTACTCAGGTACTGGAGAGAAGTTCAGTCTAAGCCAGGTCACTGCCATGCAAGAGATGTGTGACTTTTTAAAAAAAGTTTTCTTAGTACTTGTAGCACCTCTTAGGCTATAGTCAGCTAGCATTGAAACCTGAGATATGATACTGGCGAGTACAGTGCACGACTAGGACTTGACATCACCGCCTTGAGCCAGCTGGGATGTTGGCCTGGGCTACTGTCTGTCATAAACATGTGAGTTGAAAAGTTTTAGTCTGTGGTATGGAGAATATAAAATTTTCAGCAAGGATCTGAACACGAAGAATTAAGACCCAAGTTGTTAAGGGCACACAGTTGCACTACTCCCTCCCACAGCAGGGAAATAGCGGTCAGGTACAATCTTGCAGGGCAGCCTCATCTGGTGTGTGAATCTGTCCGGAGCATGGCTAGGATGAGCTGTAGTTAAATTCTATTTGTTCAAGGCGAATTGGTAGTGAAATGACTGAAACAAAGACAACCAGGCACATGCAATGAAATAATCCCATGAGTGATGTTGACTCTTGAGGAAATATGTTCTGGATTGCAGCTGAGCTTAGGTGATCATTATGTACCTTCAGGGATACCTTTGGAATGCATAGGTGTTAGCAGAGTTGCCTCCAGGATTCAAGCAGGGCAATGAGGAATGCTGTGCGGACTGAAGCATGGCAGATGTTTTACATCCATGAGTCGGTTTCTGTGGCAGTGAAGCCTTTGATTCTTGTTACACCTGTCTAGATGTTGGAGAGCATGATTAAGAAGCCACGCCCAACTCGGGCAGAGGGGAGCGATGTAGCTAATGCCGTCCTGGATGGAGCTGACTGCATTATGCTTTCTGGAGAGACTGCAAAAGGCGACTACCCTCTGGAGGCCGTTCAGATGCAGCATCTGGTGAGCAGTACCCCCTTCGTTTTGTGCTGTCTGCCTGCAGCCCTCACACACACCCTCATCTGCTCATCATTCAGCCCGTTCCAAGCCTAGTTGATCAGCCCTTTGTAGCAAGTCACTTGCATACTGGCTGCAGGTCAGTCTCGCACCGCTGGCTGCCTTTCCTTCCTTGTCCAGGAAGCACGAGGTGTCGGTGTAAAAAACTTGACTCTTTTAAGCCAATGTTGCCTCAGGATGGGCCAGAAGGAGGCTTTGGGCTCTTGCAGTGGGGCCCCTTCTCTCCTTGACAGTTAATAGCCCTCTGGGGATTGCCCTCAGCTTGACGACATTCCTTGTGTTAGTGTTGCCTCTCTGGAGGCTTTTCTGAGGGAGGGTGTCTCATCTCAGGAGAGTCTGAGCTTTGTGCCCTTTTTTAAAAAACATTTTATCCCACCATAAGGACCAAAGGCAACTATCAACATTAAAAACACAATATTGAAAGCTAAAAATGGTAAATTATTCAAATATTTAAAAAGAATTAAATAAATATTATATTAAAAATGTTCAGTGAAAGCAGTACTAAAACAGATTGAAAGCAACAAGGCATGACACTGCCTTTAAAACCCCTCCCAGACAGCCAGTCACTGAGGAAAAAATCTGCCTGAAGAGAAAGGTCCTCACCTGCTTGCTTAAAGGCGGGAAAGATAGAGCCAGCCTAGCCTCCTGTGGGAGGGAGTTCTAAAGTCTGGGAGCAGCAGCAGCAACAGCGAAGGCCTGCTCCTGTATCCCCGCCAAACACATCTGTGAGATGGTGGGACCAAGAGAAAGGCCTCGCCTAATGATCTTAATACCTGAATAAGATCATAGAGGGAGATGCAATCTTTTAGATAGCTTGGGCCCAAGCCATTTAGGGCCATATAGGTTAAAAAGAGTACTTTGAATTCTGCCTGGAAATGGATCAGCAGCTGAGAGAGAAGTTATGTGTTCCCTGTAACCAGCCCCAGTTAGCAATCTAGCTGTGGTGTTTTGGACCAGCTAGAGTTTCTGAACATTTCCAAAAGTAGCCCCACCTAGAGCAAGTTGCAGTAATCCAGCCAAGGTGTAAGTAGGGCATGTATCATTGTGGCCAGATCCGATCTCTCAAGAAACAGGCACAGTTGGCACACTAGTTTTAATTGTTCGAAAACATTCCTGGCCTCCAAAACCTGGGCATCCGGGCTCAGGTACAAATCCAGGAGCACACACAAGCTGCGCACCCTCCCCCAACCAGCACAAGCTGCATCCCTGTTCCCTGATCTGCCTTTCGAATGGCCTCATCCATTACACAGGTAATCTGGTGTGGGCTTGATGTTTGATAAGTTCCTCACTGTGCTTCACTCTCTGGAATAAAAGGTAACCCATCAATTGGCGGAACCCATCTTTTTGACTATTTAGCTTCATGCCTAGGGGAGGGGTCTGGAGGGTTGGAGCCCATACCCAGGCTCATCCTATGGGCAAGGGATGGTTTGGCCCAGCCCTTGTCTTCCCCAAGGAGCTTCTTTTCAGATATAATTGCTTTGTTCCACAGCTGGGCCATTGGACAGTGTTTAATGTTTTTTTTTTTTTACAAAGTGCATGACTTTGGGCCTTCTTTATGTGGTTTAAACTGCCAGAAATCTCTTTGCTCTGCTTTGGAATTCTCTAGATTTTATTTGACCCCTTGACTCTGAGCTCTGGAATAAACATACTGATTTTGTTGGCTGTCTGCTGTGAATTACAACAGCCTTGATAACCTACTAGATTGAGAGCTGCGGTACAGGTTAGCCACCTTACTCCAAAGAACCCCTGCCTAATAGAAGTATGGCAACCCTCCCTCTGCTCGGGCTCCGTTCTGCTGCCCCTTGGCGCTCAGCAGGGGTGGGAGCCCAGGGCAGGCGAGCATGTCTGTGTTCTAATGCTGTCTGATCAGTTACTAACTATCTAAAGCTAGGACTTCCCTGATCTCACTGTCTGCTTGAACTAAAGCTCCCTTGCAGTGAAGGATCAGAGAAAAGGACTTCCCTGATCTCACTGTCTGCTTGAAGCCATTTAAAATGCCATCGCTGGCTGACGCCTGGGGATTCCAAGAAGCCCTCCTCAGTTGCTACAAAAAAGCACTTCAGATGAAAGCCTCTCCAAGCCCAAATAGGAAGGTGGTGGTTCTAGATGCACTTGGATGGTCTCCCCTTTAATTTATGTGATGAAACTTACCACCATGTGCAGCCCATGCAGGGAATCCCAGCTGTCTTCGTTTTAGGATGCAGTTAGGAGAATGGGAACTCACAAAGGGTGAGCTCAAAAGGCCAGTCGAGGGCTTTGCCCCTATTGGTCTTCAGGCTAATAGGTCCAAGTAACTCACGACCGTCCACCTGACCGACCGCAGATTCACCTAATTGTATAACCACACACACACACAAGTGTTGGCTAACCTAGTCCTTCTCGGTTGTCCATTGGATTTGCCACCTGATTTGGGAGGTGCAAAAGCCCACCCGTGAAATGCAGCCAGAACCTGTTGGAACAGGCTTCCCCTGGCAAGGTTCTGAAGAGCATCTGCCTTCTAAAAGCAGCTCAGCAGGTTTCTGCTGGATAACCTAATGTTTGTTTCAAAGATTCTGGAGATCGTAAAGCATTGTTGGCATTCCAACTGACTCCTTTTGATCCCCACTCTCTTGGGCAATTGTGTTGGCATAGCCTGGCAGATGCTGTTTGTTACAAAATAGTCAGTGTTTCTAAATAGTGAACGAGGGAAGAAAATATACTGCCCCCCCCTCCATTACACAAACATGAGGGCAGGCTGAAGATCTCTTGACTCCCTACATTCTGGGCTGGGAGCAGATTAGAAGCTTAGTTTTCACAAATGATGTTGCAAGCCTGTTCTGGGTTTGTACCCAGAATACTTTATACTGACCTCCCCATCTTTTGTGTGGTGGAAAATTTTCTGTGGGATGACCATTCAGTCACATGGCTGATTCGCTTGCACTCTGAAGTCATCCAGGCACGGGTTGACCAGCTCGGAGGCCTAGGGCTTAATTGGTGTGCATTTGCAGCACAGAGCCTCAGCTGACTTTGACCTCCTTGAGGTTCAAGCTCCCAACTGAAGTCTACAGATTTACACTTACACACACACACACA